GTAAATATGGTAGTTTATTGAAGTATGCAGCTGTATTCTTAAAATACATACTATTGAAAATCAATGATGTCTCAACACAGAAATAAAATATAGCAAAAACATAAATAAGTCTCATTCAATTTAAAATCAGGGACGATATGACAGTACAACTTCATATGTGACTGAAAGGGTGTAATGGTTTAGGATTCATAGAGATAGTAGAGGGGTCAAGTTTCTTTCTTTACATTCAGCTGACATGAATTTAATCTCCAGGACTCTTTTAACCTTTTAATGGTCTCTGACCAGAGTAAGCAATGAGTACTGCCTAGTGTGCAGTGTGGCCCTCTAAGCCAAAAGTGTGTAATAATTTGGTTAAAAGAGTCAGGAATGAGTGCACTGCCCACAACTTTTTGTTTGTTGTTTTAATTTTGGATAATAAATATTATTTAAAATTAAATTTGTATTTATTTACAAATGGTTGAGATTACTATATAAATAGTGGGGGTGTACATTCATTCCTCTATGTTCTATAAACCTCACCGCACCCACCAACAAAGCTCTATGGCACATCTCATGATTACACGAACACCTACCTTACCCGTTTCCTCCTACTTACCTCTCCCTACTGGTAGCTATCATATTCTTCACAGTTTAAGGGTTTACTTATTTATTAATAAATTTATTTAATTTTTAGTTTTGGGGCAACACCCAGTGTATTAAGGATTTACTCCTGGCTCTGCATTCTGGGATCACTTCTGGTGAGGTCGGGGATTATGGATTATATGAGGTACTGGAGATTGAACATGGGTTGGACACCAGCAAGGTAAGCACCCTGCCTTGCTAGGTTATTTCTCTGTCCCCAAGAGCTATTTTTGTCATGATGTTAGCTTATTTGTCTTCACAACCTACCTAAGGTTCGTATTAAAAGAACATATTTTTTCCTCTTTTAAAAAGAATAACAATTGACTGCAACGTCAAGGTTGGTGTCCCGATCACAACTCAGTGCTTTGAAGACACAAGTAATGAAGACAGTATTGATCTTCTCAGCTTCAGAAAAATATACTTGGGTTTGGGTTAAGGTGTAGGGAATGTAGAGCTCTACAAAACTCAAACAACGTAATAAAAACAGAATTCATCAGGTTCATAACATCACCTCCTGGGAACAGAGACAGAGAAGAAATTTTTATTTCCTGTCCACACCAGTGTCCTCTAGGGAAGTCAGTTGTTTAGAGATTTAGGAGTGTGAAGTGAGCCTAATGAGCGACACATATATCCTTAGGGAGCTATGGATATATGTATCCTCTGTGTCCCACAGTCTGTTGTACCTGGGGCTAGAAGTTTCATGATGTTGCTTTGGAAGTATTACCTCTAACTGGGGGACAAATGCCTGGCACTTTCCTGCTCTGAGGTCTGGAATCAGAACTTCAATCTCCATTTCAACCATCCAGGAGGAATTTGTAAGTCTTTGCTGAGACTTTCTTCACAGGAACTTCACAAGGTGAGTTTGAAAACCCAGTCAATATTAGAAAAGGTAAAAGAACTGAGGCCTAGAATATGTAGCTAGGGGGTCTCCTAAAAGATTATGAAGCTTATCCAGAGAAGATCACTCTGGTTGCCTGTTTACTTAATCAAGTCAATAGTATATTTGAATTTTGAACTGCTATGCAAGAGAGAAAGAAAACATGATGGTCATGGGAAACCCAATCATGAAAGGGAATTGGAAGCTTGATTCCTTTCAGGTGAACACAAGCATAAAACAAGGGACTTTCAGGTAGCTAGAGAATTAGGATAGAAGAATGGAGAGTTAGTATAGCGGGTAAGGTGCTTGCTTTACATGGACCTGAATAGGGTTTGATTCCAGGCACCCCATATGGTCTCTCAAGTCCTAATAGGAGTGATACCAGCAGGAGAAAACTTTGAGCAGGAATAAGCTTTGAGCACTACTGGGTGTGGCCAAAAAAAAGAAGAAGAAAAGAAAAAAAAAGAACTAGGGTGTTGGATAACATTGGGTTGTCTTTCTCCTCCACTGCAGGGAGGAGTAACACCCATCACTGTGCTCCCAAGGCACTCCCATTCCTCTGTTTATCTTTAACTTCTTTGTGCTCTGCTTCCCCTGTCTTGATCACCTATATCCCCAAATCAAACCCTGTGACTTATAAAGCCAGATTCTTCAGAGGACTCTGGATTTTATATATGCATGTGAAATATTACATTTCTTTTTCCTTTACGTCCTTTGCGTAGCTTACTTTAGAGCAATATCCTTTTTATATAGACATAGGAAGACAGTTAATGCTATGCTTTTATAAGTTGGAAAGTTAATTGACTGTGAATATATTTACTCCTGGGTATCTGTCATAGTTAGTAGACTTAAGCCTCAGTTGCCCTTAGTTTCTTACATGCCAAAAGCAGGCTTCCTACGAGGAAATTGGATGGATCCAGGGCAAGCCATAGGCTACCCAATCATCAAAAAGGGACAAGCTGTAAACTACCCTGGCATCACAAAAGGACAGAGAAAGCGCCATAAAACTTAGAATAAGTTAAGAGCACAGCACAGTCACAGACAAACTCTGTCATGACCCAAAAAGAAGTAACTGGATAATGACCCTGCTTGGGTTAGGAAAGACTAATTTGGCCTGAGGAATATAGTCTGTGACTTATAGCGAGACGTTCCCAGGAGAGCCACCCTTTAATATAGCTTATATAACTTTTACTCTGTCCATACAAAATGACTAGAAATGTTATTAAGAAGTAAATTTAAGATGAACGTTTAAATGGTTATGGACTAAGGAAAAGAGAAATGTACCCCTAAATGGAATTCGCCCTTGGATGGATCTCCTTGCAGGATGAGATTTTGTCCTTGAAACTTCCCCTGAGGGAACAGTTTGACATCTGTTGATTGTACAACCATACTTATGTGTAATTGACACCCCCAAACCCCTTATGATTTCTCTATAACTATGGCTGTGAGAGTGGGTGCGAGAGACTGGAATATGGGGCGCAAGGAGACTGGAATGGGGGCAGAGTGAGGCTAGAATAGGGGAAAGATTGGAATAAATGATAGTTGATCGCCAACAAGCCTGGCAGGCGTGTCTCCTCCATGTATCTATTGGCAGTGGCCGGCCAGGGTGGCCAGACAGCTCATGGCCACTGAATGCATGTGCGAGGCACCCACACTTTTTGAACTCCAACGAGGATAGTATCTAAAGACATATATAGAGATGGGAAGACTTTCCTTAAAACAGGATAATACTTTTCTATATTTTTCCATTGATAAGAAAATTCAGACTAAGAAATAGATATAATACTTCCTTGGAACAGCAATGCATAAGATATCCAATTTCATTGCCTCTTTTTGATATATAATTTTATGAAAAATATTAATTGAAGAGGGTCAGGTTCTTGAGCTTGATATTTACCTATAAGATGTAGTATATTACAAAGATAATCTAAATATGATTTTTGCTTTTTCTTAGTGAATTTGGCATGCTTTTCTTTTAACTTTTTTTTAATTCATTTTTTAAATTTTGCTTTTGGGGGTCATACCCAGAGATGCAACAGGGGTTACTCCTGGCTCTGCAGTCAGGAATTACCCCCTGCCGGTGCTCAGAGGACCATATGGGATGCTGGAAATTGAACCCGGGTCAACTGCATGCAAGGCAAACACCCTACCTGCTATCGCTCCAGCCCTTGGCATTCTTTTTTTTTCTTGCTTTCAGATGTGTTCTTTAAAAAGCTATTGAGATTTTTAACCTTTACTGTACCCATTTAGTTTTTTGTGATACTTCCTCCTGTTAAAATTTTTTTTGTCCTTGTACAGGTATTTGCACAGCATAGGTGCAATTTATAAATATTTTATTATAAAATACATGTCTGTCATTGTGTTCATTTACTCAAAAATAATTTTAACGAAGGAAATAAGCTGCCATTTAAATATCCTTCACTTATTTTTTTTTTAAATTTTTATTAGTGAGACACCTTGAGGTACAGTTGTAGACTTAGAAATTTTGTGCTTGAGTTTCAATTATACAATGATCAAATACCCATCCCTTCACCAATGCCCATTTCCCACCACCACGGATCCCAGTATCCCTCCCACGCCCCATCCCCCCATCCCACCCCGCCTCTGCGGCAAGGCATTCCCCTCTGTTCTCTCTCTCCTTTTGGGTGCTGTGGTTTGCAAAAGAGGCATTGAGTGGCAATCATGTTTGGCCTATAGTCTACTTTCAGCATGCTTCTCCCATCCGGGGAGGATCCTCCCAACACCCTTTATTTGGTGCTCCCTTCTCTATCTGAGCTCCCTTGAAACACCATACTGAACAGCATTGCTTTCTGACTGTCATAGATCTTAGTCTTAACTTTTTTCCTTACAATATGATGTGTGCCCACATATTCTCACCCTTAAATTCTAATACAGGGAAGGAAATCATATCATAAGTGATTTTATGTTCTTGCATGTATATCTTTTTTTTTTCGCTTTTTGGGTCACACCCGGTGATACACAGGGGCTACTCCTGGCTCATGCACTCAGGAATCACTCCTGGCAGTGCTCGGAGAACCATATGGGATACTGGGAATCGAATCTGGGTCAGCCACGTGCAAGGTAAACGCCCTGCCCGCTGTGCTATTGCTCCAGCCCCTGCATGCATCTCTTTTAATACCTTGTCTCCCCTATATTTTAAATTCAATAGTACCTAATTTTAAATTTATAGCATAATGTTTATGGAACATTTTATGGTGTGTCCATGCCATTCACACTTTTGATGATCTTATAAATTAGCATGACATCAAGGGGTAACACATGCTTCTCAACCAAAGGTCATTTTCTTCCATGGGGCAAGATTCAGTATATTTAAACTGTCACACTAGGGAGATGTAGAGAGACTCAAAAGGGAGCAGATTCATACACAAATTGCTGAAATTAATTTATTAAGAAGCACAAATTGAAGCATTTCAATGATGTAATGTTTGACGAATAGAAAGTAGTCATTATTTTCCCCCTTTCTGATAGTCTCCTCCACCACATGGACAGAGGAAATATTACAGGGACTTCAGAGTTTCTTCTTCTGGGTGTGTCAGAGGCACCAGAGCTTCAGCCTCTCATCTTTGGGACCTTCCTCTCCATGTACCTGATCACTGTTCTTGGAAACCTGCTCATCATCCTGGCTGTCATCTCAGATTCCCACCTCCACACACCCATGTACTTCTTCCTCTCCAACCTGTCCTTTGTGGACATCTGTTTCACCTCGACCACCGTCCCAAAGATGCTGCTGAATATTCAGACACAGAGCAAAGTCATCACCTATAATGGATGTATCACACAGATGTACTTTTTTATGCTCTTTGCAGCACTTGACATCTTTCTCTTGGCTGTGATGGCCTATGACCGTTTCGTGGCCATCTGTCACCCACTGCACTACATGACTATCATGAACCACCGACGTTGCAGACTGCTGGTTCTGATATGCTGGATCTTGGGTTTCCTGCATTCCTTATTAGAAAGCTTAATGGTATTGCGTCTTTCCTTCCCTATGGATTTGGAAATTCCTCACTTTTTCTGTGAACTAAATCTGATGATCCAACTTTCCTGTTCTGACACTTTTCTTAGCAACTTGGTGATGTACTTGTCAGCTGTACTCCTGACTGGTAGTTCCTTTACTGGGATCCTTTATTCTTACTCTAAGATTGTTTCCTCGATATTTAGAATCTCATCAGCTCAAGGAAAATACAAAGCATTTTCCACCTGTGCATCTCACCTCTCAGTTGTCTTTCTATTTTTTTGTACAGCTCTAGGTGTATACCTTAGTTCTGCTGTTATCCAAAACTCAGAGTCAACTGCAATTGCCTCAGTGATGTATACTGTGGTCACACCTATGTTGAACCCCTTTATTTATAGTCTCAGGAACAAAGACATAATGGGGGCTCTGAAAAGATATTTGTAATAGAAATTATAAATGGGCAAATTTCCCTAGCAACTACCAGTGATAGACTGAAGTTGAGCCAAATGCTACAAACTTGATTTTGCTCTGGAGTAGAACATGTCTCCATCTTTCGATCTTCGTTTGATTTTTAAATCTCTCTGCATAACTGTGTCATTGTCTTCACTAAGTTTGGTTTGGGATCCCTTTGATATCCCTCTGATATTGTGGCTTTACTAGTGGTCAGTTACCTAGTGGCCCTTTAATCTGGACTATTTGGGAGTTCTCATTTAACTTGAGGAATAGATCTTTAAGATTATTTTATTTTCGACTGAAATATATATACTTAGAAATTTTTCTTCTCTTTAACCAAGAAAATAGTCATAAATTGTACTACTCCTATGGGAAAAGCATATAAAAGTGTAAAAATTTCTAACAAAGGAATCAGACCAGACCTTTTTGCAAACATTGTTTCCATATATATCACTCCCTTACCATCCTTATTGATTTTGGAAATATTAACCTTTTGGGTGTTATAGTTTGTCATGGGTTTGTTACCTCCTCATTAATATTGTGTTCATTTATATTAAGCAATAGGAGCAAGTGGGATAACTCACTTTATGAAGCTTTCTGATTTCTCTGACCTCTTCTAGGTTTCACTTTGATAGTTTTCCAATTAAACCAACTTATTCTTAAATCATTTCTGAAAAATGCAGGAATTTATATTTATCATGTGATTATATGAATTTCCTGAAATTCTCTTTTCAAATAAAATATGTTGTTCCAGCTCTTTTTTCCTTTGCTTTACTATAACTATAGTCAATAGCTGTAATCTTCCCATAACTTGCCTGCCCTGGCTCTTTCTATGGCTCTAACAAGAAGAATATCAGATGACAGATTTTTAAATTTTACATCGTTCCTCTGGATATCACTACCTTATATTTGCTTCTGATAGTGGACTTCAAATAGTCTGTTATAATGTGTTATTCAGGGTTTTTCTCATCATCTAGCTCCATATATGCTATATCTCCTTTAGTTTCTGTAAAAATAGATTACAACTTCTATTATTTATTAATTTTTATTGATTTACCATTAAGTTCAATTCTATGTGAATTTTGGGTATGAAATTTCATGCCTCTATCTTGCACAAGCCCCAGACACTCAATAACAGTTCTAGTGCCATTCTCATGACCACATGGGCACCCTCCACCATTTTCCCCACCCTTTCTCTCCCCTGATGCTGACCATATTTGTTGTGGAGAATGGATTATTTTTCCTAATTGTCAACTTCTTTTCTTTGACTACATAAGGTTTTGTGCAAACGGAAAAGATTTTTCATTCTTATAATAAGAAGAATAAAAATTCTCTATGATATTGGGGTTTGTAATCGCATCATAGACCAATGCTTTGAAGACTTACATAATGGAGTCAGAAAAGACCCATTCAGACTTTGAAGAAATATTAGTCTCAGAGTTGAAGTAAAGGGAGTTCAGAGCTCTAAAATGAGGCGAGAGATATCAAGGAGAAGAGTCATAATAAAACTTACTTGGCTTGTAACATGTCTCCAGGGAGCAGATCTAGAGAAGAAAACTTTCCTTTCAGGCCACACCAGCATCCTCTTGGGAAATCAATTAGTTCGAGGTCTTAGGAACAGAGGGAAATATGTTTAATCAGCAGAGAGAGGGAGTTTCACATATATTCTCTGCTGCTGTCCTCCAGTCTGTTAACCTGTGGCTGGAGGGTACTTGGGTATTTCTTTTGGAGTTCTGACTGGGGACCAATGCCTGACTCTGTCCTGCTCTCCTGTCTGGGATTAGAGCTTCAGTCTCCATCATCAACCATTCAGGAATAATTTGGACATCTATACTGAGAGCTTCCTCTCAGAGACCCCATGAAGTGAGTCATTTTGCCCAATAACTGCTACAGGACACCAAAGATATATAAGTCAAGAATATTTTATCTGATGCCACTAATGAGCAAGTCAAGCCTAGCCGGAGTGAGATCAGTGTAGCTGCTTATTTAATTAAGCAGTGCATGCATTCCTGATATCAAAAAGAGAAGTAATTTTATTTTATTATTTTTTAGGTTACACAGGGCTGTCTTGGGCCTAACTCCTGGCTCCGTGCTCAGGGATCACTCCTAGTAGTGCTGGGACGATGTTACATGCTGGGGATCGAACCAGGATTACCCACATATAAGGCAAACACCCCAACTCTTGTGCTTTATCTTTATAACCTGTCACTGTCACTGTTACTGTTCTCCCATTGTTCATCGATTTGCTCTAGCGGGCCCAGTAACGTCTCCATTGTGATACTTGTTACTGTGTTTGGCATATCAAATACGTCACAGGTAGCTTGCCAGGCTTTGCCGTGTGGGCAAGCTACGCAGGCTCTCCAAGAGGGGCAGAGGAATCGAACTCGGGTTGGCCATGTCAGCTGCATGCAAGGCAAACACCCTACCCGCTGTGCTATCACTCCAGCAGAGAAATGAATTTTGGACAGGAATGCAAGGAAGAAGGAAATTAAGTGGTAACCATGGGAACTCGACCAAAAAAGGGAATGAGTTGTGTAATTCCTTCCAGGTAAAGTAGAATATAAATCCAGTAACTTTGCAGTTAGCTAGAGAACTATACCAGTAACGATACTGTAAATCATGTGTTTAAAAATATGTTGAAGAGAGAATTTGAACGAAGAAAAATTGCTTTCATTGTATACACTAAAAAACTAAAAGAATTAGGACTAAAAACTATGAATAAATATATACAATGACTGGAGGAATTTTTTAAAGATATATTATATTTGACTATGGTTTTATATCAAGGAAAGAAATGCAGATATGGAAAGAATTGTCTTTCATATCAATTATATTCAATTGCATTTTTCTTGTGATGATAAAAATCAAAACCAAGATATTCTTGCAAGCACTACCTAGAACAGCAGTACATGAGATGTACATTTCATAGTATAATGTCCCTGTTGATATCTAATTGCATTTTATACTTGATATGTGAAAAAAGTAATGCTAGAGAGTTTACTACATTCCTTTATTATCTTTTCAGTTCCTTTAAAATTTGTTAATTAAAAATATTTATTTAAAAAAAACCATGATCCAGTCATGTTACATCCATTGGCTATTTTAAAGTTTTTAAATGAAGAAATTGAACTGTTACTTTTATATTATTGACCTTAATGTTTTTGAAAAATGAAATAAGTGCTCCGCATAATCTGTGCTAGCGAGTTATGCTTTCGTCATGGTAACCACTCCTATCTCCTCTCTGATGTAGTTAAGTGGTCCTGCTGTTGTTTGGTGATGCGATCTATTTCTGAATGTTACTTTGCCAACTTGGGCACATTCCTCCTCACAATAGAGTAAATAGCATACTGACCTCCAAAAGGAGATTGGAATCCATGACTCTCTAGACTAGAGGAAGAAGAGCTTCAGATAAGCTACCCTCTCTACCTTGTACAAGACTTTCTCTTTTATTTATTTTCCATGTCCTTGGAAATCTAATCTTAAGTTAGTAACCATGCTAAAATCATTAAATTAGGACACGTGTGTTGTATTCTTTTTCTTCCAGAGAGTGGTCTTGGATTTCCTTTTGATTTTGTTTCATGTAGTCGTTTTGAAACACCTCACTGAATTTTGTCACAGATTTTTACACTCAATGTTCCTTACTTTGTGATGTATTACATCTTCTCACCCTTAGATTCTAACGTTGCAAAGGAAATATGTGCACATCATCATTTCTTTGCATTTCTGGTTATTGCTGGTTCATTACTTTGATGCTTGTGGAAAATTTCATGGTGTATCTTTACCACCTCCATTTTTGATGGTCTCATTCTATCACAAATAATCAAGAGCAAAATATGTGCTTCTCTACAAGGACCATTTCTGCAAAGTTCAGAGATATTTAGATTGTCTCAGTGAAGAAGTTTGGTGGGTCTTTGGGACATACTAAATATCCCACCAGTCACAGGACAGACCCCAGTACAGAGAATGTCTGTCTATATGCCCAGAATGCTGAGAGGGAGAACGCTGAGATAGACTACCTGTTTTTGTTTACAGGTTTTTCAGGATCTTTCCTGCCACATATTGTAACACTTCACAATTCTGCCACTGAATTAGGGTGTTTCTCTGCTACCTGCTTAAAAATTCTAATCTCTTGAAGTGTTGTCCCAGTGTGCTCTTATGAAGGTGAATTCTCATTATTTTTCTTTGCCAGTGTGAGGGAGTAGGGTAGAAAGGAAGAACTTGATTGTTCAGAGTCATGATTGTGTCTACAGTAGACACAATCGTAACTCAGAAGATTGTGTTTTTCTCTTCCTTCCTTCCTTCCTTCCTTCCTTCCTTCCTTCCTTCCTTCCTTCCTCCCTCCCTCCCTCCCTCCCTCCCTCCCTCCCTCCCTCCCTCCCTCCCTCTTTCTTTCTTTCTTTCTTTCTTTCTTTCTTTCTTTCTTTCTTTCTTTCTTTCTTTTGCTGTCTTCCTTTCTTTCTTTCCTTCTTCCTTCCTTCCTTCCTTCCTTCCTTCCTTCCTTCCTTCCTTCCTTCCCTTTTTCTTTTTTTCATTCTGCCACAGCTAGCAATTCTCAGAGGTTACTCATGACTCTCACTGAGGAATCACTCCTGGTGGTGCTTGGGGGGAACATATGGGATGCTGGGGATTGAATCTGTATTGGCCATGTGCAAGGCAAGCACCCTACCCACTGAACTGTCTCTCCAGCACCGAATGGAGTTTTAAAAATAAATAGGTATAACCAGAAACCCCAAATATCAAGAAAACAAACATGTTACGTAAAACTATGAGACTCATCTACAATCAGGTCTATAAAATCAATGGTCAAATAATGTAGTCAAGTGACTATGGTATAAATGATTTTAATTTCCAATTGTTCTTCACATATTTCCATTTGTTAGTGTTGCTCCTTAACCTATTTACTCTTGAGAGTTGAACCTGTAAGATGTTCACATCAAAGATATAACTACCTTTGTCTTTAGGACAAGTGTTTTTACACCAATATTACACAA